GCATATTTTCCATTGTCTCTCCTTCCTTCCTTCTTGCATATTTTCCATTGTCTCTCCTTCCTTCCTTCCTTCCTTTCTTCCTTCCTTCCTTCCTTCTTGCATATTTTCCATTGTCTCTCCTTCCTTCCTTCCTTCCTTCTTGCATATTTTCCATTGTCTCTCCTTCCTTCCTTCTTGCATATTTTCCATTGTCTCTCCTTCCTTCCTTCTTGCATATTTTCCATTGTCTCTCCTTCCTTCCTTCCTTCCTTCCTTCCTTCCTTCTTGCATATTTTCCATTGTCTCTCCTTCCTTCCTTCCTTCCTTCTTGCATATTTTCCATTGTCTCTCCTTCCTTCCTTCTTGCATATTTTCCATTGTCTCTCCTTCCTTCCTTCTTGCATATTTTCCATTGTCTCTCCTTCCTTCCTTCCTTCCTTCCTTCCTTCCTTTCTTCCTTCCTTCCTTTCTTCCTTCCTTCCTTTCTTCCTTCCTTCCTTCCTTCCTTCCTTTCTTCCTTCCTTCCTTCTTGCATATTTTCCATTGTCTCTCCTTCCTTCCTTCTTGCATATTTTCCATTGTCTCTCCTTCCTTCCTTCCTTTCTTCCTTCCTTCCTTTCTTCCTTCCTTCCTTTCTTCCTTCCTTCCTTCTTGCATATTTTCCATTGTCTCTCCTTCCTTCCTTCCTTCTTGCATATTTTCCATTGTCTCTCCTTCCTTCCTTCTTGCATATTTTCCATTGTCTCTCCTTCCTTCCTTCCTTTCTTCCTTCCTTCCTTTCTTCCTTCCTTCCTTTCTTCCTTCCTTCCTTTCTTCCTTCCTTCCTTTCTTCCTTCCTTCCTTTCTTCCTTCCTTCCTTTCTTCCTTCCTTCCTTCCTTCCTTTCTTCCTTCCTTCCTTTCTTCCTTCCTTCCTTCCTTTCTTCCTTCCTTCCTTCTTGCATATTTTCCATTGTCTCTCCTTCCTTCCTTCCTTTCTTCCTTCCTTCCTCTCTTCCTTCCCTCCTTCCCTTTCTTCCTTCCTTCCTTCCTTCCTTCCTTCCTTCTTGCATATTTTCCATTGTCTCTCCTTCCTTCCTTCCTTCCTTCCTTCCTTTCTTCCTTCCTTCCTTCCTTCCTTCCTTCCTTCCTTCCTTTCTTCCTTCCTTCCTTCCTTTCTTCCTTCCTTCCTTTCTTCCTTCCTTCCTTCCTTTCTTCCTTCCTTCCTTCCTTCCTTTCTTCCTTCCTTCCTTTCTTTCTTCCTTCCTTCCTTCTTGCATATTTTCCATTGTCTCTCCTTCCTTCCTTCCTTTCTTCCTTCCTTCCTTCCTTCCTTCCCTCCCTCTCCTTCCCTCCCTTCCAACAAACATATAAACTGAGATACGTATATTCAGTGCCACATATTTTCCCCTCTTTCCATAGAAATCATAGACCAAAGCTGATTAATGATAGACTAATAGACCCCTCTCCCCTCATCCCCTCTCCCCCTCTCTCCCCTTTTCCCCTCTCTCTCCTTCCCCCTCTTTCCGCCTCTTCCCTCTCTCCTCCTCTCCCCCTCTCTCTCCTTCCCCCTCTTTCCGCCTCTTCCCTCTCTCCTCCTCTCTCCCCTTTTCCCCTCTCTTTCTTTTCCCCTCTCTCTCCTCGCTCTCTCCTCTTCCCCTCCCTCTCCTCTCTCTCTCTCTCTCTTGACTCTCTCCCTCTCCTCCCTTTCCCCTCTCTCTTCTCTCCCCCTCTCTCCCTTCTCCCTCTCTTACCTCTCCTCCTCTCCCCCTCTCCCCCTCCACACGTACAGACACTCATACCATTAATTTCTAAATGGTTAGTTAGCACGCCATAGCACCATTACCATTAATGTGTGTAATTATTTTGGATGTCAATCTAGCTTTGATTTTGCCGATTTTTTTTTTTTTTTTTTTTTTTTGGGGGGGAGAGGGGGGATTTTGTTAGTTTAGGTTAAAAACCTTGTTTTATTTATAGATTTTTCTCTCTTTTTTCTCTCTCTTTGTCTTTGTTTTGAGTATGTTTTTTTTTCTTCCTTTCTTTCTCTGTTTCTTATTTGTCCTTTCTTTTTTCTTTCTTTCTTTCTCTCTACTCTTTTTTTTGTATTGTCTGTTGTTTCAGGTTTTTTTGTTTCTTTTGTTTTTTATTTTCTCTTTGATACGATTGTTTCCCCAAATATATTTTTCCTCTCTTCATTTTCTCATTTTAATAAGACTTCAGTTTCTCATATTTTTTTTTTTTTTTACTAAAGCTTTAGATTATCTTCAACAACAACAACAACGATGCAATAACTGTAATGATACACAAAAAAAAACAAGGAATATGTTTTATCAATGACATTGTTGTTACCATATTAAATACCGCTAATATTGTTATATCTGATGTCATTTTTATTGCCATACCAAATATTACAAATATTACTTCTACTGCAATACCAAATACCAACATTATC